TATGATACAGAGGTGAAAGAATAAAGAACAGAAAGAGATGAACGATATCATTATCGTTACAGGTGCAAAGTGATCTTTGAACAGTGCATGACTATAGCAACTATTTCTTTTCTTTCTATTGATGTCCGTTGACTCCGCGGCAGTGTGTTTGACCTTTTGTAGTTACAACAATATTGAATTTTCTCTTCTAGACAATGTCTACACCGCAGTCCGTCTTCGACTTTCTCAACATATCAAGTTCATTTGCGTCAATCAACAAAACACGCCTGCAAGAAATTCGCTCTTCTCATCAGGTTTTCCTGTCGCAAACAGGCAGTTCAGCCACACCCACCAGCGAACAAGTTCTTAGACATTTAGCAACCCAATACAATCTTCTCGATGATGCAACGAATATAGACCAGCTAAAATTATGTGTTCAAAATCCAACTAATTTAGATCTGGCTTGCCATGAGCTTGTCTCAGCATTCAATCGAATGCAATTTACTCGAAATTCTGAGAAGAGACGACAAGCATTGCCATCCAATTCAATTCGCGAACAAGCCATGCCACCAAAACCAACTGTTGTCGATTATGTGAGAGAAGTCGTTTGTCGCATTGATGTCAAACAAGATCAGCCAGTTGTGCACGATTTTATACATCGATTCTTGTTCCAACCTCTTACTGAATCCAGAGTATTCCGGTACGTTGCACTCGACGAAAGAATATTTTCAATCTAAAAGTATTGTGTCCATTTAGAACAAAGAGATATACCACTTCAACGGGTGNAAATTGCAATTAGCTGAACCAATTACAGTCGATGATGAATTCGATACTTGGTTTTTTGATCATATGCGTGGTGTAATGCAACTCTGGCTGGTAAACAACGATGGTCCAGCGTTTCCTACCCGATGGAAACTCGATCCAAATGCCAATATATCATATGTAATCGAAACAGGAGACAGTCGCAAGAATGATGACGATGACGACGACGATGTTGAGTCATCGAAAACTATGGTCAATATCGATCGACCAAGAACAATATCATTGGAACACTTTGTTCATGATGTTTGTGAAAAAGAGAATAATGGTAAATATGAAAAATGGATCGCGGCATTGCGTGAAGATGATGTTACGACTTATGCACATTCGTCAGTGGAC